AAACTGTTCTAACTGACCAGTAGATACGATGAAAATTGACTACGAAAAAATGACAATGACAAATTTACTGCAGCGACCACTACCAGTATCATTTTATTACGTCGATACGTTCGAGTTAGACGATTCAATCAAAGCGTTTTGGTTTAACTACAGGTTTGAACGCTAGGTATAACGATCTTTGCCATTACAAGAAGTTATTAAGAATACGATTTAACGTCAGAATCGTTTTACCTAGTTAGTAAAACATTTTAAAATGAAAATGGATTATGAAGAACGACTATCTATATTATCATTTTTTAAAGACACAAGTCATAAAACGTTGAAGCTTGTTGTTTTGGAAATTATTGCATCAAGGAGATTTCTGTTAAGGGAGAGAGACAACAAACAACTCAAAAAAAGTAGGAACAAAAGGCGCCGGCCATTCATTCTGTAGTATGTACTCTATAATGCACTATCATATATGTATATGCGAAAGCGACGGGTATTCAGTCACCTACAGAGAGCCACGTGTTCATTTTTTGGTTAACCAGGGATATTTGAGGCAGTCGGCTGCCGTAGCTCGCCTGTCGGGATCAAAATCGAGCATCGGCTTCAGAAATGCAGCGAATTCTTCAGCATCTTCCTTTGACCTGGAACAATAAATCAAATATGAATATCCTGTAGAACATTAATTCCCTCAAAATCCTCAAACTCATGGTATGTCTAAAGGAATCATGATGACCATTATCCTTTATTCGTCATTTGCTTGTCTAGGCGGTCCGTAGGACGTTAATCGAATCTGTCAGTCCTGGTTGACCAGAAACCAGACAACGTCAAGAAAAAAAAAGGGAAAGAGAAGAAAAAGGGGAAGTGTAAATAAAAACAGAAGTGTATCAGTTTAAGAGGCAATACCAGGACTTATTGACTTGGCACACGGATTAATTTTGAGGTGAACTAAAAACCATTTTGAACAGGTTTCGTTAGAGTGTTCTTTTGGGTTTACTATGAGCATGATTTCATAGCGTAAATGGATCGCTATTACTTAAAAAATCAGACTACCGCGATTGCAATATTCTGGGATTCAATATGTGCTCATATAATAATTGCAAACATGTGTATTTTTTCATGGTACTTACAGAGTCTTTTGACAAGCTTTTTTATGAATAAACTGAAGTATAAGTACTGCGTAATAGTTTTATTTCATGTAGCCATTGATCTTTTGAAATCGTTTACATTTGTGGAAATGATGGTTTTATTATGACCTCCGTCTGCGTTAATAAAACTATAAACGATACAATCAACCATAACCTATTTTAGCCTTATGTCAGTAGTGTCAAAGGATTGCTATAGTTTTACATTGAGAGTATAGCTTTTCCCTTTGCCAGACCGTGCGAATCGTATCGTCAAGGATGTTGAAAAAAAAAATGTGACCAACCAAGTTAGCGATATGCTTCTTGAGCGATGTAGTTTCAGCTTGTTTACTCTGAGGCTATGCGTTTCATAGACGCATACATGAGAGTTTGTGGTGCGTGGTGCTTTGACAGGGTTGCCACGTTGGGGGATTTTCGTCCAGATTCGGGGGATTCTTACTTGGGGATATCACACGTTTCGCTAAAAGAAAGCATCCCCCCTCTCATTCAACCTACCCCTTTCCATCAGTTAACTGATTTGAGGGATTTTTTTTGAACAAGTAGCAATCCTGAGGGATTTTTGTGCTTGTTGGGGAAATTCTGTTCCACACATCTGGCAACGCTGTGCTTTGACAGATCGCCATGTAAATAACAACAAGGATTGCGATTGCATTAGCTGAACTATATTTGCTTATTTCCTCTATATCGTTGGTGCAAATAGTCGGAAATCTGTTAGAAATTATTACTTTTATTTAGCTGTTTACAAACAACTGTTAAAAAATCTCTCTGTGTGCGGTGATTAATTGTTTAACGAGGGGTAACAGTAAATGTTCATTGTTTGCAATTCCTGCTATTCCAAAGTGGCTGGTTAAACACTGCCCAAATACCGACAAGATCAAGTCATAAAAGATAGAAGAATAACCAAAATATGCAAGAATTCGTTCCAGGTGTTTTAGAAAAGGAAACGTCTTGATAACAAAATTGGTTGAGTGTATTTTATAGGAGCTCCAGTAGATTTAACATAGTTAAGAAAAGTCACCCGCGAAACGATTTATAACAATGGAAACAGAAGTTATAAAAACCTGTAATTTTGCAAGTAGCTGGTTAGCTTTTAGGACCCTATCCCGGAATTTCACGATTTAGTTTATTATCAAACTGTGGATACCCTGTACACGCAGAGTAGCTGGGACATTGCCTCAGTCGGGTGTCACGTTTTGGGAGTCCACGATTTGACGTCTACTGAGGTGAATAGCTGATCAGCAAGTGACATTTTTGTGTTGGTCTGCAACGTTGGCTATAATGAATCGGGTGTAAATCTAACAAAAATTTGTTTGTAGCGTTTTGAATTTTGTATGCAAATGAACTTTTCTAAATAAAAGAGCTTTCAACAAGTTCAAAATGAATCTGTGGCGTACAAAAAAACAAAACAAAATATGGCTCTGTCTAGCTGGCATTGACGGATCCATCGGAATTATGTGTCCTGTGCCGATGTGGAGAATTTTGAAATATTACTAGATAACCAGCTGTCATTCTACCGTGATGGATATTTGTGAAATAGGGTATAATTTCACTACGTTGTCAACATGGCCATTAGGAATTGCAATCTGACAGATGCAGTTACGCACCGACACCAGTTTATCTGTCAATGTATCCACACTGCAAATAGATTGTGTTATTTGAAAACTCCTAGAAACTGATTAGTATAATTAGAGCTATAAAACGCACTCGCTAAATAGAAGTGTAGATGGTGTTATTTGAAAACTCCTAGAAACTGATTAGTAATTAGAGCTATAAAACGCACTCGCTAAATAGAAGTGTGTAAGCGCAATCGTTTGGCACGGATTACCTTATTTTTTAATTGATAATAGACGATATCCTTTCCAGAACTTAATTAATTAACGTCAAAAATCATTAAACACGTATGAGAAATTTCAAAATTCGTCGCGTTTTGATGTTCGTTGAACAAAATCTTACATTTTTAGTATCTTGATGTCGAATTTGGAAGATGTTGAATCGTTATATGGCGCCAAGTACACGATTGCAAAATTAAAATGGCACTTTGACAATAAAATAAAAGGCTCTATTTAAAAATTCGACGACAGATTCCTTTTACACCTGTCACAAAGTTGAGCTAGGTAATAGCGACAACTGTTGCCTTTCGCACTAAACGCGGTCCACCAATTTTGGTCTCTTCCTCACAGGCTGTCGACATACACACAGCGGTTTATGAAAGTTTCCACATGGATATTTGATACGAATGTCACACTAGCAGTATTTACTGGAATGTATAAGATACCTACCTGACGCTAGCCAACGATTAACCGTAGTCCAGTGCGTATACAGGGCTTTTGGGAGAACTCAGTGGCATCTATGAATAGTAGCAGAACACAAAAACGAATTTAGACACCTATTTTGGAACTCTTTGCTTCTGCTGCTGTTATAGATGGCACTGAGGTCGATCTATCCAAGAAAGACATTAAACCAAAATAATACGTAGCCGTGTTCAGCGCGTGATCAATACGTTGATATACGGTGAGGTTCAAATTTGACTGACGTAATGTGTACGAGAGAGAAGCGTGCAATAATATATATTAGAAAGAGTGCGCCAATGACAACGCGGCAAGCTGCGGCTGCGTCCGTAGCCTCGTCACTCGGGTTGCCAGGCAACGAAGTACTATCTCTTTCTCACACACATATTGCACGCTTCTTTCTAACACATTACGACGCCAGTGGTATATGAAAAAAAAAACGGCAACATAACTGTTATTGAGCAGTTATCCCTTTTTAAAGTTACATTTCAGTTCAGGGGGGAGGATTACTCCTTAGGAGCGCAAATGCCGAGTACTCACCAATCATACTTCTCGCGCAGAACTTCCTCTAGGCCCCACGGCTTGAGTCCGCTGATGTGCCTGAGCTCGTTCTTCTTGTTGAAGAACAGCTTGGAGTTTTTGCCGCCTGCGCTATGCGGCGCGGGATGTTGCCCAACAGCTCGATGATGTGAGCCAGGTGGTCTTCGTCGCGGCAATAATCCTCGCCCGAATGGGGCTCGAACAGGTAGTCGCCGGTTGCCAGCTCGAACGCCATGCACGCCGTGCTCCAGATGTCGGCGGATGTGTTGTAGCCTGGAAAAAAAAAGATACTACCTACACCAGAGGTTCTCAATCTTGTTTCATCTACTGCCTAATTTGGGAATCAATTATTTTCTAGCGCCCCCGGAGTTGTTCAGGAAGATGTTCGTCTAGAGGCGGGATGGCAGCGTAGTCTGCTAGAATAGTGCTTCTGAAAGCGAATGTCTTTGTGGCAACACTGCAACAGCAGTGTGTTTGTATACAGTTTCAACTAGAAATATAAATAAATAAAAGTGAGGAGACAACTCTCGCAATCCTCACATTCAAACAATGCCAAAAAGGCATCATTGTCAGAAGTATAAATTTTCAAAAAAAGTATTTACGTTTTGTATTTAGACAAAATTCTTATGCATTCTCCAAGGAGTAAATATCTGTAAACATTTATAGTACATTAGACAAAAGATCTAATATTACTACGTATATAAACTGGTACTATCTTTGAAAATGTAGTGACTGCAACCTGCAGTGAATTATGTGTTTTAAACTTAAAACAAAATATTAAGTGTTCAAATGAATAGGGCACCTTTTTGGAACAAGGTAAATTATTCTTTCCATCTTAAAGAAATGTTGAACATTGAAATTATGTTGTTCATATCCATGTCCTAGTTTATATAAGGCACCATCTGCTATAAGTACTCATTATTCATTACAGAAATATGAATTGTCTCTATAAAACAATGAACAATGTTTACATAACTGTGTTGCTGTGACCATTTAATTAACTCTGCTATGCAGAAAAAAGGGCAAAATATGATCGGACTGAAACAACGATTTAAAAAACTTTTGCTTTAGGAGACTAAAATACAGAGATATAGTTTCTGTACTTACGTGAATGGGAATGCCAAACTCTCAAGATCTTTGACATTTATGAGATATCAGTGACCTACTGATAAGCCTACCTCCTCCTAGCTAAGCTTCTCTCCATCATGCTACGGCATTCTAAGCCTGCTAGGCGGACGCATCAAGCTGTTAATGTTGAAGCTGGGCTCTTCCCAAGACATCAAAATACGCATTGTCTAGTCGGAATGGCTGTCTTCAGGTCTACTGACCTGAGACAGTTTAGAACTAGTATTAACAAAATATTTTTGACGTCACAGCACAACGTGCCAGCTATTACCAGAATCAACCACTGCGAGAGTGAAAACAGCAAGGTGTCTGTTGGAACTGCGTCCCAGTTCGCATTTAAATAAATAAATAACGTTTATCGCGTTAAGGAAACCATTTACAGGACAATCTTAAGAAAAGATAAATCAAACCCACAAGAATAGGAAACACAAAAAGGAAAATACAAACAAGGAAAGGAAGCAAAAACATATTTCACTCAAGTGTTTAAGTAATTCCTAGATACTCCCAAAATGATTAAACTGTCAGCATGTTAATAACAATGGCATTGAAAGTTTCACACATTAAAAAGGGTCCGTCAGAAACAACGCATATTTTTTAAATGAAGAGTACAGTCAAAATAAGTATGGCAAAAAATATTTTATTATATCAGAATACTCAGAAATACATGCCATGTTTTTGAGTAAAACAAAATTTACGCTCTAAAAACTATGTCGGCCATATGGCGCCGTTGAGCCGCAATGTACGAATCAAGCCTCTCCCGAAATGAGCCCATTGCGTCGGCCAGCATCCGTGCAGGAATTTGGGTTACTTCTCTTATTTCCTTCTTCAAATCGACCAGGGTCGAGGCTTGCTTGGTAATTTTTTGATTTCAGATAGCTCCATAAAAAAAATCACACGTTGACAGGCCCGGGGAGCGAGGGGGCCATGGAATATCGCCGAAATAGTTTTTAGGACGTACATTTTGTTTTACTCAAAAAAATGGATTGTATTTTTGAGTATTTTGATATAATAAAATATTTATCCCATACTTATTTTGACTGTACTACTTATTTAAAAAACATGCGTTCTTTCTGACGGACCCTGTATATGTACATGAGTGCTTTCAAAAATAAATCTGTGCGAGCCCTGTCACAATAAAAAGTTTTAACGGTACGAGTTTGAATGGATGGGACATTTTTGAGTAAAAAAATAAAACCGTTCTATTGTCTAACTTACAAAATTATTATTAATTTAATTGGAAAAATTAAACACATTAGGGGTACTGAACAACAACAAGACAACATAAACATAACATTAAAATGGAACTTGTCTACACTAGTGTCCTAAGATTGTCCCACAAAAAGAAATCTAAACTGTTGAGGTCTGGGACCTTGGTGGCCATTCTTGGGGCCCACCGCGGCCAATCCAACGATTTGGATAAACAGTTTGTAATAATTACGAACCGCTACACTGAAATGCGCGCTGGTGCACATCATGCATGTACCACATACTCGTATTGTTTCTTATTACTAAAGGAAGTCGTCCCGGCAAGAAGAATGAGCCAATAAAGTGGTTGCCAATAATTCCTGCCCATACGATAACCGAAAATAGGAAATGGGTTTCGGTTACGGCATGGCGATTTTCTTTTGCCCACAAATGATTATTGTGGAAATTCTGAATGGCATTTCGAGAAAAATTAGCTTCGTCCGTGAACAGAATCATTGATTCAAATTGGGAATTTTGTGTAATTTTTTGAAGATACCACTGACAAAATGTCACACGCCTTGTAAAATCAATGGGAATTAATGCCTGTGCTCTTAAAATATGGTAAGAATATAATAAAGAATCCACTAAAATTCTCCTAACAATTTGATGGCAAATATTTAAGTGTCTAGCGATCTACATCGTACTCGTTTCAGGATGTTCTTCGACTTTGTGCAGCACTGCTTCCT